TACAGCAAGCATGTCAAACTCGCGGGCCGCATACGGCCCACAAAGAATATTTTTGCGGCCTAGCCAATATAACAGTATGTAAGAAACGTTTTAATAAAAATTTCGTAACCTAATTTGAAGGCAAAGTTCAGTGAAGTTGGCGTGCCTGGAGTTTACAAATATTTACCTGCCAGGTTTGAAAATACTTGAAAATTCGCATATGAAATTATTTCCATGTTTGGAAGTACTTATCGGTGTGAGCAGTTATTTACAATTATGAAAGGAAATAAGTCTTCTGTCAGATCCAGAATTACTGACATTCACCTTGGGTCAGTTTTGAAACTAATCACTGCGAACAAGATTTCCCCCGAAGTAGGAAAGATAGTAGCAGAGAAGAGATGCCAAGTGTCAGGAAGAAAACATTAATTTTATCGTTGTTCTTTTTCTTTTTTTATACTATACTTTTCAAAATAAACCTACGTTTCTATGAAAATTGAAGTTTTTGTTTTTTTGCTGCCCACATAAACTTAAACCTTTTTTATTTGGCCTGTGTTAGCCTTTGAGTTTGACATGCTTGGTGTACAGCAATTTAGGATCTCATTATTGTTTAGGATGACGATTTGTAATGCCGCATTTGTAATTGCTGATTGTGGATAAAACATTACCTATTTATACGACTACCTTGGCCAGAATTGCAACGTCGGTGTCCAGCATTGTTTTGCTATGAGCATGAGTGATGTGGTCTTCATTGTTATCTGAATTCTGATATCAGTCTGCCTCTGTTTCCGCTAGTCTCTGATTGTAAGATTTTGAATCCACATATTTGCGGCAGAATGAGACAAATTTTTGCTCAAATTTATTGATGTTTATATGATTGTGGTAATAATTTCATACGGGATGTCAAAATGATTAGAGATAGTTGAAATGAGCCAGGAACCTTAAACGTGTGTTGTAGGCACTGATGTGCAGGCATTGAGTGACTCAGAGTTACAAGAGCTTTATGAGGTGGCCGAATGAAGAATACGCTGACGTTTCGATAATCACCTTTGTCCTCATCCTTGTCCTGACTGCACTGCAGTATTACGCGGAGCAGGTTTCTAATATTAATAATATGGAAGGGCATATGTTATAGAATTCTGTTGATATATTTTTCATTGTGTTTTACTTTAGTTACAGATGATGATCTCATGGAGAAGGTTATTGATGTTATGTTTGCATGGAAATTTGTTTGCTTTCTTTATTGTTTGTGTGATTAGTTTGACAGCAGATATTGTATATGCATTTTAAAAAAGTAAAAAAAAGTGCATTTTATTTCTATAGGTTGTTCATTCCGTTTATATTGGATGTAGTGTTTAATTCTGCCTTTGATCTTCATAGCAATGCCCAGAAAAAGGCAAAATGAAGGCAAGAGGTCACGGCACAGTGCGGTGGACAACCTCAGCTTCCGACTGCAGGGCACCCTGTGGAGGAAGCCTAGGAAGTTGGTATATTGCGTCACATTGATAATAATAGTTTGTAGTCACGTGAGTAATGCCTTTTTTTTTTGCATACATCAAATTGTCTTATTTAATCTGAACGGCTTTTCTAATGAATTGTTTGTGTCACCAAGTATTAAAATATCTGCCAAGTGATGGTTACTGCTTATTTTCAACTTCATGCCGTAAGCTATATGATAATAATTAAGAACCAGTTCTGGTTATTCGGTTACTTTGCTGAGCTCAATTTCTTGGTTTTTCAAGTACTTGTGCACAGATCTTAACCCCGGCCTTTCTCAGAAATGGAACTGATAATTGCATTTATGGTTGTGTGCGAGTGCTTATTGGCCGATACTTAAGAAAAAGTCGACACACCTGACTTTGATATACTTACATGTCCTTGGTAAAATGGGCAGAGGAACCTGTTGGATTATTTTTTTGAAGAATAAATTGATTATTTTGCACAGAAGCTTCACAGTGTTGACCAACGATTTTAACTTCTTTCATGGTATTTTTATAATTTAAGTTTCTGGGAAACACATGTTTCAAAAATGTTCATACATTTCTTGGCACTTTACCTACGTTATCTGCTGAATGGTTCAATTAAGGGTTAAGATCTGTCAGGCACTGAGTTTATAATTAATATATTTCCTCCATTTTAATTAGTTAACCAGAAAAGTTTAAATTGAAGATTTCATTGTTGAATAAGTTTATGGAACTTTGAATGTTATATTTTATCCCAGATTTAATCACTTTTTCTCATTTTGTGTGATTGTAAAAGATTTCTTTGTAAGTGAATTTTAGGGTGGCAATGATGAAGATTAGTCTCATCTTCAGTTGATAACTTGCACTTGCAATTTTGAAGCTAGGTCTTCTGTATGTCCATTGCATTTTTATAGGTGGGCCAAGCTCTTAGCAATGGAAGAGCACTTCATTATGTTAGGTCCCATGGGGACTGTCAGCCAGGAGGTGACAGTCTAGCTGCAAGTACGAGTCGGATGTCACTCGGTAAGAACAGGTGGAAAATGATGGCGAGAGAGAAAGGAATAGAGGAAATTATGTGCCTTGAAACTTTGTGATGTGTTTTTTCTTTTAGTAATATTAAGATCGCGTAGACACTGATGTGGCAGTGGGTTAATTGTTATAGCCAAATGAAATAAATAAATTCGTACAGAACATGTCAGGTCTTGGAATTCTGTGATGTAATATATCTTTTTTTGGAAAATTTGCATCCAAGGATTTTTTTTGTGTGTGTAAAATTTGCTTTAGCTTTCATATTAGTAGCGGTAACTGATGAACCACTAGAGCCCGGCAAGTACAATTTTGTATAGAGTTAGATCATGAACTTGCCTACAGACTAAATTTTAAACAAATTTCATGTCATCAGTTGTAGTGGTAGTGCAAAACGGGTACATGTCTGACAAATATAATGTAATTTAAATTTGTGTTTGTGGAAATAATGCACAGAAAGGGATCAACGACAACAACAACAATAATAAGATTATTTATTTACAGCTGGGAGTTTGCGTTACGTTTATTTGTCGGCTGGCTTGAGGTGATGCTTTCCATCTTTATATTTGTGATATATATATAATATAATGCACTGTAACCTAATATTTCATGGCTGTGTCCTTAATCGTCTGCAGGGTTCATTGATATCATTCGGCTAAAAGATTAACAATGTAAAATGATCAGGTCACTTTACTCTAAGATATTTGTCAGACATTGGAATAATAAACCACTCTTGACCATTCTGCCATTTAGTTTCAATAGTAGTATGCCGTATCCAGTGACCATATTACGTCAGAATGGTATATGTTTAACTACAGTTCAACCCAGAGGCCAGTTTCTCAACATTTTAATTATGTGTTCAGTTAATAAATGGCACATTTATAGATTGTATGGCTTCATGGTAATATTTATTAATCTAACTTGTGTATAGTTGCAAATATGCTACAAAGTGAAGTTTGGGATGGAAAATTTGTCACTGACTGTAGACTATGCATTTTTATCGTTTTCATAGAACAGGGGTCCTCAACTGATGGGGCATGTGGAAGAATAATTTTTTTTCTTCATGTTGTTACACTTTAAGTTGCAGGTGCTAGTGGCCCTGTGAGTGGAAGTTGGGCACCAGTGGGCCGTGGTGCCATTCCGAAGCGTTGTGCTTGCACTGCCCATGGGCCTCACCTCCAAGCAAGGTGAGTTTTCATCTTGTGATACATTTTAATCATTGTGCAGGTTTGTATTCTTAGGATGATATTAAAACTTGTAAGTGGGGTACAGATAAATTGAAGTGTTAACTCGCCATGCAGAGAAGAAAATGTAATTTCATAAGTGCATGCGTTCTTGTGCTTGCCTACCCGAAGATATTGAAGTCTTTCCAAAGAAGGAATGATCATTTTCCTGACACTGAAAAATTGGTTGAAGTAGAATTTTGCTGCTATTCTGTGACTTCGTGTAATGATGTGTGTATGTTTGCCCCTCTTTGAACTGTGAATACCGTTGTTGAACAATGCCGAGTAAACAAATCACGTGACTGTTTGATGACATAATTTTTTGAAGATAACGAAAATTACAAATCATTATAGTAGACTAGAGCAGAGCGCTCCTTTTGGAGCTTCTCGGGGGTTGGTCGAGTTTTTAAAATCTTGTGTAAGAAACTAAACCAACCCCCCTTCGGGCGGGTTGGTTGCGTTTTAAAACCTTGGGTAAGAAACTAAACCAACCCCCCCTTTGGGGGGGGGGTTGTTTGCATTTTAAAATCTTGTTTAAGACACTAAACTAACCCCTCCTTCCGGGGGTTTGTTTAGTGTGTTACTGAAGTCATATGTTTACTCGGCATTGTTGTGTTAGTACAACAATGCCAAGTAAACAAATATAACGTGACATTGTTTGATGACGTCATTTTTTGACGACGATGACAAATCACAAATTTTTATAGTAAATAATATGACCAACAGTGCACGGTATTTACTAAGCGGAAATACGGCAGTTTCTTACAAATTTATCGTCTGGAACTCTGAGGTTTGGGACCTTAGTTAATCAAACCCTTTACAAGAAACAATCAGAATTTGCCTAAGTGTCATTATTGTCTAGTGCTTACTATTCGAACAACAGAAAACATCTTTGCCGGGACTCGAACAAAGGACACAAATTTTTTGGGGGGCTGATTGGTCACTGACAAATAGAACTTGACTCAGCCGCCAATTCCCCTGAAAAACATTATAGAGGGCTGCTATTGGTGGGAAGTGTGACCAGGCCATGGAGTTCCATTACTACATACAGGCTGAAAGCATCAACAATTAAGAGTAGCATGTAGTGAGTGCACCTGTATTGTGTTCTAGATTCAATCACTGTGCCACTGTGAGGTAATCTTAAAGCTATACCCATTAGAACACTTGCAAGATTTGTGTCTGTCATTCTTTCAGTGATTGCAGAATGAATGCTTTAGGCTAGCTAGTAGCAACTCGTCACACACCGCAAAATCATGCTCTTAAATTGAATCCGCGGTAGGGATTTTCTCTCAGTCGGAGGACAGTAGTTATTGTGTTTAGCTGGAGGGAGAAAGTGCTGCAGGTGAGTGGGCACAAACTCTTTTGTGATAGGAAATTTGCTTCACCAAAAGTATAACTGTTGGGTCTGAACTAAAGTGTGACGTTAAATGATTTGTAATTGTTGAGTAACGTAGATGGGGGGAGGAATTCTCCAGGATGGCGTCGTTTCTTGCTGTTACTTTGTCATATTCGTATTTGTTTCAGCGTCAATAATTACATGTTTCCCCTATCCATGGACTATTTCTCTTATTTTTCGGCTATTTGTTATAGTTAAATATTAATTATTGACTTTTTACTGTTAGGCTGCAATGTAGCCACATTATAACATACTACTACCAACAGTCGGCAAGAATGGAACGACAGCTGTCGGCTTTTATCAACATCTGCGTATAAAATGGTTTGTGTAAGAAACGGTGTTACTTTGTCTACCCCTGAATGGACGATGGCTTGGTTCCTGTGGCAAAAGTAAACAACTGGACAATTATTAAAGTGATATATTTATAGCAGAATGACCCATAAGATCACAGTTTATTCTGAAATTATTGTGTAACCCCCAAATCCTAATGGTAGAAAGTTAATACATTGAAAGTCTCCAGTGATTAACAACCCAATTTGTGGCTAACAAAAAAATTTGTAGAAAGAACTTCACATGGTAATTATGTATTTTCAGAGATGGAATCAAACAACTGTAAAAATTCAATCAGAAAAAGAGGAGGTGGAGGAAGCAGTTGATGCCAAGAAAGATATAGAGATATGTGTGTTTCCACAATATGTGTTATTAAAACTTTATTTCCACTCATTCTTCTAATTTGTTAAACTAGCTGAATGGGATTTTAGGTCCTTACAGCAGTGAGTATGAAGATGGCTGTATTCTGAATTATTGTACTGTCTGTTGTCTTAATCATCATGGTGATGCCCTGATGATGGAATTTCTACCATACTTCATAATGTCTGCAACCCAGAAGATAGCCATCTTCACTTATTAGTTTGCTGACAAAATCAAATACATTTGGTTACAGTAACGGATATTTAAATCAGTTGTAGCTTTGAAGTTTTTACTCTTTTCAGAAAAATATTGTACATCATCTCACAGAAGGCTCTGACCCACAATTTATGAAGTGGGTCGATGATGATCAACAAACCATCACTGTTAATGCTGCTCAGAGGACCCATTCTGACCTATGTAAAGAAAAAGAGAAATGCGAAAAAATGTTCAAACATGTAGAGGTATATCTACTAATAACATACTACCTCCATTTTTGCTGAAGGTAATTGCCATCTACAAAATTACACACTGTCATGGCCTAGAAGACCATACTGTTTGTAAGATTTGAGGTTTTCACAGCAGTGAGTATGAAGATTTCTGTCTTCTGGGTTGTTGCGCCGTGTAGTCTGGTCGATGTTTACCAACGTTTCAGAGGTCATACTGCCTCCGTCATCAGGGCGATGAATATTCATCGCCCGGACCAGTCATCGACCAGACTACACAGCGCAACAACCCAGAAGACGGAAATCTTCACCATACTGTCTGTTTACAATTGGTATTCCAGGAATTAAAGTTGCTGGTTACAGTAACACTGTTGTTGAACAATGATAAGAAGTCAGAAGTTATTCTCATTGTCCGTAAATTGGACAACTTAATATCTCAACCAGATACAAAATTTTATTTTTATATTCCAGTGTTTATTTTATGTAAGTTTAATTCTTATATAGTTCTTATTTCTGTTTAAATAGTGAATCATTAGAAAATGTATTAATGAGGAAGTTTAAACAATTAGCTCAATGAAGTGAATACAGTTCAAAGAACATTATGATGGCGCTGTTCAACCTACAAATGTTCACTTGTCTTTGATATGCTGAATGGTTGTCACACAAATTCTATATATAATTTGTTCTTTCCTTAGCACTGAAATATCCATTTTCTGCATGCATTTGTGTTGTATAAAATGCACGTAATTAACTTCTGCACTGGCTTAGGGTTTCACTACAAAGATAAATTACTTATTGTAGCTATTCCATCACAGGTGACAAGTAATCATTTGCTAACAGTTTCTTATTGATCATGTGTATGCAGTTTTATCTACCTTATTGTTTAATGTTCTCATATTTTGTATGTATTGTAGCATGAAAACCAGAAATTGCTTCATAAATTGGCACAATATGAAAAGCAGCTGGAAGAAGAGCCTCTGCTGGTAGAAGAGCCTGAGGACAGTTCATAAACATTGAAAGGATCACCAGGAAAAGGTATTGACAATTTTAAGTTCCCAACCATCCATATGTCCCGATGTTGCATAATGACAATAATAATAATTTTATCACATTAGCATTTAAAGTTTTATGAAGGTTACAGCATCTCAGTATTGCCTTGTTTTCCTTGAAGTGTTCTCAAAAGGTGTGTCATGACTCCAGCAGAGTTGTTCGTGGCAGAATTAATACAAATTCAGGAAAATTTGACATGAATGAAACAGCTGTATTTCATATGAACAAAGTGGTTAACTTCAAAGTGTAGTTAAGCACAATTCATGCACAAAAGTCAAGAGTATAAAGTAGCTATCATCTTACTGGCAATATGACAACATAAGAAAACTAGTCTAAAAGTTCATCCATGCAAGTTTGATTTGGTGAAAACAAAATTTGTTAAAATTTAATTTACCCTTTTGATTTTTCTTATCAATAATTTCCTTTTTGGGAAGGGCTCCATAATACTCTACAATTATTACATTGTCATTACACTACAATTTGAAAGGATGGTTTATGTTCTTGAAACAACGCGGTTTTAGTGATTTTCCAACTACAATTGGACCCCGTTTGTCACTACCGTCACTGTTAACACACAAGAACTGTAATCCGGTGTTTTGCACGTTTTCCCCCATGGCAAGATTCACCTTTCAACGCCAGTGTCCTATCTGGGAGGGCGTTGTAGAAAAGTCCGGTCTCATCAGCATTATAAATGTCCTGCGGCTCATATCCCTCCAGCATTGTTGGCAGTCTCTCGAGCCATATCCACAGCAGCACTTTCGCTGGCTAACTTCTTGTAAACCATACCATGTCGTTCTTGAAATCTACTAATCCATCCATTCGACACTGCAAAATTTTCAATATTCAGTCTTGCGGTTGTCGTCTTGGCTTTTTCCCGCAAGATGTTGCCATCAACAGGAATTCCTGAGGCCCGCGATTGCTGGTACCAAGTGAAGAGGACACTTTCTAGCTCACTGAAAGTTGATTTTCTTCTGGTTTTCCTCTTTTTTTTTGCATGAATTACCGCACTTGTCAGTTTGTTTTCAGATTTCTTTCTTCTTTGCAACTATTGAATTTAAAGTATATGGTGCTAATCTAAGGCGTTTAGCAATGTCGATTCTATTTTCAAATAGATTCTTCTCCACTTCTTCTATGATTTTTAATCTTTCTTGAAGAGTTCTAACTTGCTTTACTGGGCGAGACATGGTACAGGAATAATAACAAAATAATTAACAGGAGTAACAGGAATAACAAAATATTTACGGGGACAACAACATGAAGAATGGAAATACTATTACTGCCGAACTCGACGAAACGTAGCTGTATTTTATAAAAAATAGTTGTCATTTCAAGCATAATTTGCCTTATTACGGTAACATCCATCATCCAGTTATAACAGGATAATAAATTAATTAGTGAAAATGGAAGGTTTCGTGTTAGGTGCAAATACAAAACATGGTGTGTACATGGGCATTAAAGATGACGTAACTGTTGTTTTAAATTTTATCATCACAATAATTATAATTTAATTTTTGTGTTAGCATCTATAACAGTTGGCTTTTTTCTGTCCGCACAATTTTCGTGTGCGGTTTTGTCATCGACCATAAAATTAAAAACACACAGTAAGAACGTCGTTTGCATTATGTTATGATGTCTGGCATTAAAAGGATAGTTTACCACCAGCGTATATTGTTATATGCCGTCAATAATGGGATCATATGTTTTAATCACATAATACAAGGACAAAGGAAGGAGAGTTTCAATGCAGGAACGCCAACAGATTCACACCCCGACCAAATCTTGGTTCGTCTGATTTGTAGTTGGAAGTGGAAGCTGGCGAGTTGAGGACTAATGAAGACGGAGCATGGCCTTATGTTGTGGGTAGATTCAGTATAAATGCATTCAAGGTTCCTGAGTAATACTGTGAGATAAAATTTGTGCGTATTTAACATGTGAAAATCATAAGAAACTAGGACATTTTAAAAGTTGCTTTTAATATGATTGAAAGGAAAACAGTCTTAAGTGCCATAATACAGAAGCTGAAGCTTTCTACATTCCTCCCCCATCTCTAAAGAAATTAAATTCAGTTTTATCTGGGAACGTTCATTCTGTTCGACGGAGCACCAGAAATAGAGAACATAGGTGAACATTTTAATGCATTACTTCTCGAACGTTAAATAAATATATGTAGGTCTATTAAGACTGTATTTCATGCCATTTAATTAATAAACACGTGACAAATGGTAGCGAACCTTATTTCAAAACGTGTTGTATTGATGCGTATTTAAATCATTAAGGTTAGTTACCAGGGCACGCCTGCCAATTATTTTCTAGTGAACTTGGTTTTCTTTTTCCTTCCAGTAATTAAGTCAAGTAAAAATTGCTCGCTTCCACGCAGCAAAAGCGGAATGTATAAGCAAATATTCATTAGCGGCTTTCTTCTGCCCGGAGACCTGCTAACATGACGACTTTCTTCGTGGTTTTTCCCAGTCTATACAAGCAAAGTCCAGCGTTGTTAAATTAATAATCACTTACTAGTCAGAACATTCACTAGTTCGCCTCCAAAGAGAAGGCTTCGTTGGAAAAATTAATCGGGTGTGAATTAGACTGGACAGAGTTCATTGACCAGCTCTTATAAAAACATAATTGGTCGTCAGGTTTCACGGCATGCAGGATGATCTCTACCAACTCAGCGACTAGCAGTTTCTCATGTGACTTTATCCCACAGCATTATTTATTTAAATTTAAAAGAAATGTGTAAACTCTTTCTTTAATAAGTTATTGTTATTTATAAGAGCGAAACACCCTCTCATTTACCATGCGAAGGCTACTATTCAGAATGTTATGTTAAAACTATTATTAAATTAAATCTGTGGCGTAACAGCTCCAGAGAGCCAAAGCCGACTAACTTGACTGCAGGCCTCACGTTCACATGCCTAAGTAGAGGTGAACGATCATCCAACCAGATATAGGGTGACGAGTGGTCAGCACGACGAACCCCCAGCCATTGCTAGTTGTTAAAACTATTATATATGCACAAAATAAGGTATAAAATCCTTGTTTCACAATGTAATTAAACAGGTAATGTGTTCCATCCAAGCCAATGCCTGATTATACCAAACATCGTTATCAGTCGATTAGCATTCATTCTTTTCATTCCAGAGGTTATGAGCAAGAAACTTAGCTCAGAGAGCAGCAATTAGAATGGCTTTGTCCTCGTTTCCCTCAGTTCCTCAAGACAATCGGGATAGTACTTCAAGTTAGGCCTCGACCACTTCCCTCCGCATCCTTTACAACTGATTAATTTAATCTTCTTGCCATTCGACAACATTCTTCTTCGATTCAACACCTAGGGTCGTTGATGACCTTGGCTTTCAGTGCATTTTCCCTCCATTCCTGATTGTCCTTAACCCCTTTATACTAATTTCTTATTCCCATGATTTTCAAATACTCTTTAGCCTCATCTCTATGTCTCTTCCTTCTTCATTTATGTCCACCCCATCTGTCTGAGATTTTATAAATTTTGCAGCTTTCTCCTACGTTTATGGGACCACAGATTTTTCTGATCATCCTTCTTTCAAATATTCTAAGTGCCTTTATTTTTCTGAAGTCACTTTCCAAGAACAATGGGGTTCGATCTGAAGATTTCATGGCGACTAAGTGCAATGAAATCTTCTCGGGGGGGGGGGGGGGGGGGGGGTCACGGCATTTAAGGGAATTCTCAGTGTGTTGCCTTCGTAATGACGTTTTTCTAGACGATGTTCATGAAGCAAAGCATTTAATCTTCCCCTATTACCATGAAGACGGTTTCGTACCTCGAAACATGTCGCCACAAGTGGATTTATTTAATACCAGACGCAAGTTGAAAGTGCTGTGTGATGATGTTAAACGTCTGTAAAACAACTAATTTCAATAAGACTTCTTAAGCAGAAAATAACGAGGAGAAATAATTTTCCTTTTTTGCTGCAAACAATATTTCCCTTTTTAGCTCCTACATCAATTCCTAGTTTTCTACATTATTTTCGGAAGGAGAGTAATTAAAATTAATGTGTTCGTCGTGGTTTTAATCAACTGCAAACTACTGATTTTCACAATCCAACATTTCTTTACGTTTCTCCTCCATTAATTTGTCTCTGTGTTTGTATGCGTAAACGCTTGCATTCAGTAGGTTCTTGATGACACAAGTCGACATCCCGGATCTACAAACATTTATGTCTGCCGCCTGGTGCCTGCAATTTGAAATATTAAATGTGAAAACAAAACGTTTTTCATCATCCATCTGTATTATCTACATTCAAAACAGTTTTTAATCACATTTCGCGGACACAGTTACAGAAAACATGTAGCTCTACATGCGATGATGTAACTCACGAAGACCATAAATAGTTTATTTAATATAAATTTAATAGAAATGTACTTTGAATGTCAGTGCATTTATGTAAAGAAATTAACCATTTTCTTAAAAATATATATACTTTTTCTTCTGGGGTTCTAAAATATTAGAGATTTCGGTGTAGAATAAGTGTAAAAGAATTATCTTTGCGAGTCGTAAAATGTGTTGACCAAAAAATATCCATGTCTGATGGGCTGGCTCTGTTTTTGGGTTGAATGGAAAACTGCTTGAAGGGAAGGGCACAGGCTTCCACCGAAATGTCGTTGCTTGTATTTTGTTTCCAGATAACCTTAACAAAAATTCCCCCAATCGGAATTCAATACACAATTGCCACGCCATATTTCAGAACAGTTCCCACGTGATCTTTCTTTCAGTCATGCACATAGAACCCCGGTCAACGTGCTATTATAAAGTAATACATTTTATTACATCAAAATGGAGGGAGAGGCATTGTAAGTAGTGCTTTATTTATTGTTCAGAATTATGAAATGTTATCGAAAGGGAAATTTTGGCAGAGAAAGTTTGTAGGTTATTCTCTTCTGATTATATGAGGATACTTCATAGCCAAACTTTTAGTTTCACTTCGTTGTCTGTCAGTTCCTTGTTTTGGTTTGCTTTACATTTAGATGTGGTTGTTGTGTGTCTAATTTATGCCACGTGACATCTCTGTCTGAAACTCCTTGCATTTTGCACTAATGCACTCTGAATTCTGGTAATGTAGACACCCAATGAAGGGTCATTTTAGAATGTATGATTTCATCACTGAATGATGTATCACTTACTGATGTCTTGCGCATGAGCTTTAACCCTTTGAAGTTTAATGATAACTATATGTACCATCTGCTTTTACAGTCATTAACACCACATTTTGTATGGTTCTCAGTATGAACAGTGATCATTTCCTTAAACAGCATCAACCAGCTGATCTTTGCAGTGGTGAAGACATGTTTTATTTGCAGTAACACACACCATGTAGGTCACTTGGGGGGGGGGAATAGCAAGGAAATTAGTTTTATTTGTAACCAGTTTCCATATGAAGAGGCCAACAGTAAATGTACCCTGTCTAGTGGAGTAAGAAATTTTTATTTGTGTATTTCACAACATACATCACTCATGAAAGTTGTACATTTTCAGATGCTCATGGTGGTAATTCAGTAACATTAATGACAGCTTGTGTGAGCCCAGCAAAGGGTAAGAAAAATGAGACTCTCAGGACACTGCAGTATGCAGAACAAGCCAAAAGAATTAAAAATAAACCAACCGTAAACCAAGATCCTCGAGCTGCAAAAATTGCTGCATCGAAACAGTTAGCTCAAGGCGGAAGTAGACAATGTCCTCCAGAACAAAGTTGTCATAACCAGCAATCGCACACACTGCAGCAAGTGGAACATACCAAAGAATTGCAGGTATTTTTAGTGTTTTGAAACAAATCTGGAACTTAGAAAGTATGGTAACATTTATGTATTTCTTGATGTGAGTTCATGGCTTTTTCATTTCTTTCTCATACATAGTACTTATGCAATGCTAGGATAGCTCCTCTCTTTCCATTTATGTAAAGTAGTAGATTGTCTTACTGAGAGAAGACAAATTTTAAACATAAATAGTGACTATTGGCCAATTCATAAGCTACTGACACTTTTTAAACTAGTATTGAAGAGACTAATGTATTAGCCATGGCAAAAGTAGGAATAGAAATAGAACTTGTATCTTCCTCTTGTGCACTGTGTCACAGATTTTCCTTCGGAGTTATGTAAAATTGAGCATAAAGAATAAGACAGTTTGGCCTGGCCATAAGCAACCATAGAAGAGCTGGGATGGTTTTTGATTTACCTGAAGTGGAATGGCATCTGGCTTCGTCTGTGCAAATTGAAGCTTACCATTTGTGATTGATACTGAGAAATGCCTATTATATTTGCTTCAAGGAACTGAATCAGAAATTGTCATCAACATATATTGGATGTAGGAAAGACCTGGAAGACTTGCAGGAAGAGATTTCTATCTTGCAAAAAGAAAGGGATGAATTGACGCAGGTGCTTCAAAATGTACAGAATCAAAACGCAGAAAAGTACGTTTCCTGTAGCATGTGGTACTCTTATTCAAATTTAGAAATGCCTGTTGTTATTCAGTTCATTTTTCCTAATATCCGTGTTTGCGTTGTTTATAAAATAAATACTTCACTTTTATGAATTCTTCACGTAGAGTGTATAAAATGGAAACCAAGGATCGTACACACAGTTCAGAGTGAGTTATTTCTTTAACTCAACTGCTCTTAATTTTGTGTATATTATAAATAGTTGTACAGATTATTGTTTAATATATTATTGAATCTTTAATACGACATCAGAGCAGGGAAGGAAGCAACTTCAGGAACTGGAACAGAAGATTTTTGAGTTGGACAACAAAATAACTGAGAAGCAGAAAATAATAAAGATGATGGAGAGATGTGATAAGGAGATAAGTCAACTGGAAAGTGAGATTCACATGTGTTTAAAAAGAATCCACTGCTGCAGAATTCAAATTGGGCAGATCTACATCTGTCATGAAAACAATGTGTTTATGGATTACATGGGGGGGATGTCGAAGATTACATTACAAATCATGATTTATGCTCACATGTATATTTCTGTTCCCGAGGCGAACCTCAGCTACTGGGCTGATCACAGGTGGCAGATAGTGAGGACCCTGAGACATGAGGATTAGCTGTGAAAAAGGGGAGAACCAAATAAGCAGTCGCGGACCGAGGCGCAAGACCGGAGAGCGTGGGAGTGTAGACAGTGGCAGGGCTACGGCCATCAAATACCACATGAGCTCAGTGAAGGTCCTGTGACCTGGCGAGTAAGCACCGCCAGTAAATAAGTGCTGTCACCCCACTGCCTTGTGGGTAGGGGAGGGATCCCCAAAGGCTAAGGGAAGGAAAACCCTGATAGAAAACCAAGGGGTACAGATGGCTCCATAGGTGTAGAGAAACCAACCCTTCTAAGGGAATGAACCCTGAATAAAAACTTCTGGTCCTCCAGGAAGATGGGGGTTGGACATCAGGTTAACAACCAAATTCTGGAAAAAGATGACGTTCAGACACTCTTGAAACGAGGCCTCGGAAACATCCGACTCCCTTTGGTAGACGACGTGGAAAAAGGAAAAACACATCTTTAATAGAACCTGTCAGATACTCGCATGCGCAGATGATTTGGTGGCGCTGGGAAGAAGCATGAAGTACCTCACAGAACCAATGCAAGAGATAATTACTGCAGCTTAGAAAGTAGGCCTTGAGATCAACACCACCAAAAGCAAGTACATGCTGAACAAGACGAGCGGAGCCAATATTAGCTTGCGGACAAAATCAAATACATTTGGTTACAGTAGCAGATATTTAAATCAGTTGTAGCTTTGAATTTTTTACTCTTTTCAGCAATATGTTGATCAAAATCTCAACAAAGATGACCCAGAATTCATGCTATGGGTGGATGAAGTTATGAATGATATTTTAACCACAAATGTTGCAAAGAGGACCTTGAAGGTCTTGAAGGACAAATTTGAAAAATTTGAACTGCAATTTGATGTATTGGAGGTACACATACTTTATAATATATTTCCTATTTTCCCGCAGACATATACTAAGCACAAGATTCTGCGTGGTTAAAAAGTGTAATTTTGTTGTAAAATAATACTTGTGGTACACCCACTGCACTTTGCAGTCAAATGGTTAGCATTCCTCCTTCATATTCAGAATTAATGCAAATTTCTGGGGGATATATACGTATATATCCTTTGTCATATGAAACCAATCTGAGATCACCAAGCGTCTTGAAGTATTCATCAACCGCTGCCTTCGAAGGATCCTTTGCGTGTTTTCGCCCAAAATCATAACAAATGAAGACCTTTTGAAACAAACAAATGAGGAGCCAATAGCCACACAAATTAGGAGCAGAAAATCGAGGTGGATTGGACATACCCTGCGGAAGGACCAAAACACTGTCGTAAAGCAAGCACTCTCCTGGAATCCCCAGGGATGGAGGAAGAGGGGAAGGCCAAAAACAACCTGGAGGAGAACCATGGAAGAGGAGGCAAAGAAGGAAGGAAAGGCCTGGAGGGAGCTGAAAGTTTTGGCTCGTAATAGAACTCGTTGGCGCTGCTTTGTTGAGCCCCTATGCTCTGGCTAAGAGTGACAGGACATCAATCAATCAATATGAAACCAATACTGGAAGACGTAGTTTTGAGTGTAAAATTTGAGGTTTTTACAGCAATGTAAATACATTCTGCAGCAACCCTGTAATGAAATTCCTGTAATAAACTTTTTGCTCTTCCACTTTATCTAGTCACTGATTGGGACTAGTAC